CAGACGCAGGTGATTCTGTGCTGCTTGTCCTATTGGACCTTACATCTCCTTTTGACACCATCGACCACAACATCCTCATTTCTAGACTGGAGCAGTGGGTGGGCATCACAGGGTCAGCCCTTAAATGGTTTGGGTCCTACCTCTCTGACAGAACCTTCTGTCAATATCAAAGATTTTAGTTCGGCATCGACAGCGCTCCGCAGGGGTCCATCCTCGGTCCCCTTCTCTTTTCTTTATACCTGCTGCCACTAGGTGCTAACTTCTGCAAACACGACATACCCTTTCATTTCTATGCCGATGATTGCCAAATTTACTTCCCCCTGAGGCACAGAGGCACACGCTCTATTCAGCCTCTTCTTGACTGCCTGGCTGACATCCGGGACTGGATGGCTTTAAGCTTCTTAAGCTTCAATGAGAAGAAGTCTGAAGTCATGCTGTTCCATCCCAGTGGCTCACTCATGAACCATGACATTGACCTTTTCTCTCTAGCCCCGCTAGAAAAACAAAAGGTCACTAATCTGGGGGTGATAATGGACCCGTCCTTAAAACTCAACAGTCACGTAAACATGATGGTCAAATCCTGTTTTTTTCAGCTGAGACGGCTGTCTAAGCTGAAGCCTATACTCTCCAAAAAGAACCTTGAGACAGTGATCCACGCCTTCATAACATCTAGGCTTGATTACTGCAATTCACTTCTGTTTGGAATCAGTCAGTCCTCCATTGCTCGTCTACAACTGGTCCAAAATGCTGCAGCCCGATTTTTAACTGGTACAGGCTATAGAGACCACATCACGCCAGTTTGGGCTTCCCTGCACTGGCTACCCATTCACCTTCTGATCCATTTCAAAATTCTCATGTACGTTTTTAAATCACTGAACAATTCCGCCCCATCCTATCTCACTGATCTTCTGCAGCCATATGTCCCACCGCGCTCTCTGAGGTCAGCAGACCAGATGCTTCTCTCAGTCCCAGAAACCCGTCGTAAGTTCAGAGGTGACAGGGCTTTCTCTGTTGCAGGTCCACGACTGTGGAATGAGTTGCCACTGAGTGTCCGGCAGGCTCCCACACTCTCAGTCTTTAAGTCTCGCTTGAAGACCCACTTCTATTTGCTTGCCTTTAACACGGTGTGATTTGTTTTGGTCCGGTCTGTTCTCTACTCTGTTGACCATTTTAGTTAGCTTCTTCTGCTATTTGTATCTGTATTTCTATTTTATGTTTTCCCGTCTGCTGTGCACGTTTGGTTCTTTTGTACAGCACTTCGGTTGGCCTTGTTGCTGTTTTAAGTGCTATATAAATAAATTGGTATGGTATATACATATATATATACATATATATATATATATACATACACATACATACATA